TATCATGACTGTGTGTCGCAGAAACATATGATATGATTGAAGACAGTATATTTTTTTTTCGGAATTAATTATGATTTCTATTTCTAGACAATGTTCGCGAAAAACATTCCAAAAAGGAGCAATTATGTAAACCAAACGATTTCTTCGATAATGCTACTAGTAGTAGTGCAATGACCGCTGAAACAGTTCTCACATTTAGTCAGATGAATCTCTCTAGGCCACTCCTGAGGGTCACCATTCTAATATTAAAAAGCTTCAATAATTTAAATTGATTTTGCGATTTTCACCCAATTTATCTGAGTTTTAACATCGTATACTGATTTTGTGACAGTCTCAGCAGCTGGTATTTCCGTTTGATTTAGAAGTAATTATCGTAAGTAATTTGCGTGTTCGGATTGAAACCTATTTCTATTATTTTTTTTAGGCCATAGCAACATGTGATTTCACCCAACCGACTCAAATACAAAGTGCATGCATACCTCTAGCACTTTTAGGTCGTGATATATGTGCATGTTCTGCAACAGGAACTGGTAAAACGGCAGCTTTTATGCTGCCTATTTTGGAACGGTTATTGTTCCGACCAAAGCGAAAAGCGGTGACGCGGGTTGTAGTATTGACGCCAACTAGAGAATTAGCAATACAGGTTCCTTATTGCAGTAATATTAGCAAGTATTTTATCAGTATAAACGACAAGCAAATTGATGTCACCTACTTTTGACTAAGTAGTCGCTGGATTTATCAAATCGTTTCTTCATTCATAAAAGTTGTTCAGTCAAGTTCGAATAGCTTACGAGATACAAGTCTTAGTTGTAGTAGAAAAAATTATCAACAATTCATTTATAGGTATTTCAAGTGAGTCGACGGTTATCGCAATTTATGCACGTTGATATATGTTTATGTGCAGGTTAGTTCTTTGTCAAGAAAAGTAGTTTTTTTCTGGTTCAATTTTATCATTTGTTGCACTCATGACATCCTTCTTGCGCTTGTTTATCTCATCCATTCTTTTATTTATATAATAGAAGTTGAACCTTCTCGCTGACTTGATTAAGTCTTTTTGGAACAATATATATAATTCATCATTAGCAAACTATGCGAGATAAATTGAGGGTAACAAAGAATTTACACGTGCATTCGGATGTTTTGCTACTAAAATAATGTAGCAAAGAGTCAGGAGTGAAAGTATTCCACTGGTATAAAATGCATAAGTATAATGCCAATGTTGTACGAGATGCGACGTGTAAATGGGTACGATGAAATGTATGATCCATTGAGCGGCAGATGCCAGTCCTGTGGCTTTTCCCAAATCAGTCATATCTACGGCACTAAAATCAGATATTTAAAGTGGTTTAGAGCATAAGTGAGAAATAAAAAGCTGTTAGCCTATTTACATTGTCTTTATTAAATTTGGTGACTGTTTCTTAATTTCAATTAAAACTTTGTAACTTTATGCTTTTTAGCTTATTTTTTCAAAATGTGAAATTAGCAATCTCGAGATCTTTTCATCCATTGGTGCATTAGAAAATTTTGGATTTATAATCATATCCTCATTGTCAATTTAATGATCTATTCCTCTTCAGTGTCACCAGTTCATCTCATTGCGGAAAGTGTAAAAATTTATGATTAAATTAAGACAGCATCAATCATTAAACTTTCTGATGTTTTTTTGCTGAGTTTTTTTACTACTATAAATTTAAAAAGGTTACATGCCTTGTAATTTGAGTACAGGTTTCGGCATAAGCCACTGAATAGCAAGCTGTTTGAACGGCCACGATAACAAGTAGTTGATTGAGACTGTTAGCAAAACTGGTTAAAGTGTAGGCGAAAGTAAGGGCAGCTAATGCGGTAATGAGTACTGATCTTGGATACAGACGTTTTTGTAAAAAAGGCAAAAAAAGAAATTGTGCTACGAGTAGTGATGTACCCATGACAATTAGTACTTTGGCCGAATCATTAGGGCTCTAAATCTGTTGCATAATAAAAATTTTTATCGCTTAGAAGTAGGAAATTGTATAAATAATATATTTGTTTACTTATTCATCGATCAAAATATTTAGTTCCGTAGATTCAGTGCTCTTCTAAATTTTGAAAATGAATTTGAAATGTGTGTTTTATCATAGTCTTTAAATTCACGCTTCAGGTATTATAACTTAACCTGCATAAGTGAACGGAGAAGAAAGTTTCTAGATATTAATTCATAGCACACGTAAGCGGCAATAAGTAATCCTCGCAATAGAATACCTTCTCGAAGGGCTGAATTATTTTTGACCATAGGTAAGTAGTCCTAAATTGGTTTCAAACTAAAACTGGTGAAAAAGATAAACATTTGTAGAAACATTCACATTCAATCTGAAAATGATCCCTTGTCAACTGAGGGGGTTGAGTTAAAACATCTTGACTATGGTAAAAACATAGTACTTGCAAACATTCAGTACAGTTTTGTTGCTTTATCATTCCATGGAATGGAACATTGTAATGTTGGTAAATCTCATTTTTCTGAACATGCTATATTTACCTGTGGTCGTAGTCGTGCAGTAGCAAGTTTGGGTACAGTGTGTGTGTATGGTAGCATAAAATAGATGAGTGGAGTTAGTGTCACCAGCAAAGTGACACCACAAATAAATTGTGATCCTCTAAGGGTGGTTTTAACAGCCAATTGTGATGCCAACATCGGACCCAAGAACATTGCAATTGCCTGTTTTTTTTTGAAAAAAATAAAGTTCTAAAATGCTGTAAAAAATGAAGCTATATTAAAGCTCGAAGATATTCATATCCACGTTTAGCTTTTGAAGAACTACTTTTTGTAGTTTACTGAAATGCCTCAATATTTAGGAATTGTTTTGCATTATTTTGTATGGCAGTAAAATGCTTGTTAGTTGAATGGAAGTGCTTTCTAGTTGACTGGTACCTGTGGTACAGTGAATCGCATCAGAGCCTTGGTTCTTTCACGTTCTGTTGTAATAGTTGCTAAGTACATCTCAGCAACTGCATCGAGTAGGTAGCCCATTCGGAATAGCTTAATCAGGGAACAGTTATTTCATTTTTGTTTTTTTATATTTTTATTTTTTTCATTATTACTGCCACAATTTTTCTCATAGGAAACTAATATTTATTTGAAAGATGCATCTAATTATTTGATGTGTGTGACAAACTAAACTCATTTCATTTTTTTACTCATCACTTCGTTACAGATTAATTATAAAGTGACTGATAATAATATTCCTACTTTTGTATGCTGTGAAAAAGTGGTTAAGAATATTCTTTACATGCCAATAAGAAGTTCCATAAAAGGACATAGATTATTGCTTGAAAATTACCTGTAAAAAAAAGAAGGAGTACCAACATCTGGCAAAAGCTAGCGAAGAATAATAGATAGAAGTGACAATGGTTGAAAGGAGGAGCATCGTTTTGGGTCCAGTGGTATCAGCTATCTAAATAATCCATCAGCTAGTTATTAATTTTTACAGTAGCAAATCTTTCAGAATGACATATACTGAGATTATTTTTGAATGTAGAATATGTTTTACCTGTCCCGCAGCAAGAGCACCAATGGCATTGCAAAAGCTCCCAAATGACTGAATGTAACCAATATCCACTATTGACATCACCTGCAAATCATTTCTTCTTCTAAGGAAAATCCTATTTTCTCTTAATTTCTTATTTTTCACTGTCCCTGGGAATATTACTACAGAAGAAACAGCAGTTAGATGAGTGTAATTCAGAAAGGACGTGGTTCGAAAATCTAAGCTGTCCTCTACTCACATGCAATATATGTACCGTTTTTATGAATTTCATACGCATATTTAGAAAGATACGCATTTCGTCAAATGTAAATCACACTCTTTTTTAATTTTAATTGTTTTTTGAGTAGTAACCTCAAATTTTTACTTGTTACATTTCAGTAATGTCAGAAATTAATTAGTAAAAGTAAGCAAGATATTGTAGAGCTAGCTGCTCCATTGCTGAATGCAAGTTTACTTTTGTTTTTAGTGAGATCTCATTTGTATTGATAAGGAACTTTCCAATGCTGACTTCATTAAATGAGCGTTGAAAGAACAGTTAAAAGATTCAATTTTTCCGATTTTAACTGTCAAAAACAAAAATGAGTGTATGTGAAGATGTCATGACTGTTGATGCAAAGAAAAGTGAAAAGTAATAAACTAACATGAATAGTGTCCCATTGCAAGAAAGAAAGTAACGTTGTTGTCCATTGAGAGCCATTGTTCCAAAGTCCGTAGACGACACAAAGTATTAGTAATATTCGTTGGTTTCGCTCCATTTACACGTAAGCACGCACACATTCACCTTATTCAAAAACAAGACGTCTACTAATAGCTTGTGAAAGGCAGATGAAGGAGGACTGAAATAAATATAATAAAATTATTTTTCGTAAGGTGGATGAATGCGTAGGAAAAGAGAGCGACAAGTGGATTTAAGTGGAGAAAATGGGGACGGATGATGATTATGTACGGGAAGATTTGCGTTCCATAAAATCAGGTCGGATTCAGGGAGATGCAGATCGTTTGATGTATGTGTGCATTCGCAAAGAGGATATATCTTGTGTCATGAGAGAATGATAATAGCTCCGATCAGCTGTTATTCTCTCTGTATTTGTACCGCGCACAGTAAGTTTTTTATTTTGATGATCACGCGTGTAGTTAATTGTGTACGTATTTTACATTATAGGTGAGGTGTATGTTTGGTCAAGAGAGAGAAAAAATTGTAAAAGTGGTGGCTGGAATGGACAGGTGAGATGACGGAGGGAATACATTGAAAAGTGGAAGTAGGAACAGGTTTGGTGGGTATATGGTACATTTGGGCTGAGCACTTCTTCTACGAAGAATTTTTTCTTGATTGACCTGGAAAAGTATGGGGTATAAGTATAGGTATGGATATGCGGTAAATGAAGACAGAAACTGTTGGCTGTTAAATGAGTAAACTAGCTTAAAGCAAGTTATGCTTCGTAAACGTCTATGAACGGAGGCCTTAACAATTGTACATGTAACGGACTGGTATTTAAAAAATCACGTTCTTAACTTGCTTTAAGCTAGTCATTCTTGCTCAAGACGTCATCAGTATTATTATTTGTTCATGACTACTGCTTATATTTTATACAGTCCAAAGTCATATATTCATTCATCTGTCAATTAGTCTGTCTCCTGAAATTCATACACCTTACTTACTAGCAATAATATGCATAAAAGCTATAAGAGAGATTGTTGTTTGCTAAGTGTGGAGAGATAGACAGTATCGGACTATGTGAATACAGATGGAAATGGTTATGCAAAGAAAGCAAGCAGTTCTTGAATTCATCTTTGACTTTTACATGGTTGCTGCTTGCTTCTTACTGTACTGTTTTTTTCATCCATAAGCCCTTCTTTTCTCTCTTCTACATTCTTCTTTTGTCACTTGTGCAAACGTATTGTACGCTCTGTCGTTGTTGAATTATTTCAATAGACAGCTGTAAATGTCACGATGGCTCAATATCGGTTTCATCTATTTTCGCTACCTTCTCTTTACTTGCTCATTCCTTTACACACACAAACACACACTCGCTCACACTCACACTTCTACTTTCTCCTCTACGAATTACTTTACGAGAGCGTTCAGAATTTCATATTTGTAAACAGCCTTTTCGTTAATTGCATCAAGAATGTACTCTCCACTGAAAGCACGTTGCAGCAGCATGAGCTCCAATAAGCATTCTTTAGTAGCACGTGAGTAATGAGCAAAAGAGCAAGTAGACAATGCAATTCTATTTGGAGAAATATTATCGAATTATTATTGTACATTATTTACATGCATATACTGTTAAGCAGTTATGTTAAAAAATGCAGTTAAAAAATTAAGGATAGATCTCTTACATGAACAACTATATTATTCTCCTTTATTTTTGGTAGTTAGTTGTAAATTCGTAGATGCATTTGCTTGCTTTAATTTTTTCGTCGTGTTCAATGATGATTATATTTGTTTATTGTTGTTCAAATAAAATTACTTATTACTTTCAAATTAAATATGACTCAAAAGAAAGGAACTAGAGATGTACTATAGCATTACTGGTTTTATTATGGAAACTGATAGCATGTGAATTAATTGTGGTTGTTACATTCCAGGAGGTTTGGATTTGAAAACACAAGAAGCTGCATTAAGACAACGTCCCGACATTGTTATTGCCACACCCGGTCGTTTGATTGATCATTTGCATAATGCGCCCAATTTCTCACTTGATGATGTCGAGGTATTGTTTCTTGATTCCTTTCATTACTTAACAATGCCAACACCTTAGTCATTTCTTCGGATAACATTCTCTTTGCATTCAAAGTTGAGAAGTGAAAGTTTAAAAATATCTGTGTTGTATTATTTTTTTGTTTGCTTTTATTTGTATTTTCCAGCAGTACCTCATCATTTCCTTTGCTAAGCATTTTTTAAAGATTTTGGTGTTGGATGAAGCAGATCGAATGTTGGATGAAGCTTTCTCGGATCAAATGAAGGAAATTGTGCGTTTATGTGCTGCAAACAGGCAAACAATGTTATTCTCAGCCACCATGACTGATCAAGTTTGTTACTGAATCATGTGCTAAAATTTGTATACAATATAAAGATTCAAATCTGTCATGAGAAAAATATATCACTGCATCTGTTGTATAAGTATATATATATTGCTTGTGACATGTTGCTCTGATATTTCATTCATGAATTACGAAAGATATAGTTAGTTCATTTCTAATATGAAATACAACATTTACAATTTACCATTTTTTGAAGGTTGAAGAGTTGGCGGCTGTCTCATTAAAAAATCCGGTGAAATTATTCATTAATAGTAATAATGAAACAGCTTTAAATCTTCGGCAGGAATTTATTCGTATTCGAGAAAATCATGAGCTTGATCGGGAATGTATTGTTGCAAGTAAATGTTGTTTTTCACTGTTTTATGATCTGTTCCACCGTTATTTAATTTAATTCAGTTAAATAATTTATTTGTTACGGAATAATTTTTTTAGGTCTCGTCACTCGCAATTTTCCAGACCATACAATCATATTTGTCAAAACAAAGAAAACTTGTCAGCGCTTACACATTGTACTCGGTTTAATGGGGATCAAAGTTTGCCATTTTAAAATTTCATGAATAATTTTTTTTTGCAGCTTTTTGTCCATTGAAAGAACTGCATTATGTAATCTTTACGAGTCGTTTCTAGTAGCAAAATTTGATTCAATCTTATTCACTATTTTTTAGATTTTGATTTTTATTACTATAGGTAGGCCAGCTTCATGGTGGACTCACACAAAGGCAACGTATTGAAACGTTGCACCGATTCAAAAAAGCCGATCTTGATGTACTAGTGTCGACAGATCTCGCGGCACGAGGACTTGATGTAGAAGGTATTAAAACGGTATGATTTATGTCGGTATGGTACAAACTAACTACTGACTAGAAATTTTACTAAAAGCAAAGAATTAAACACACCTATTACGTTTTCCGTCATCTTCCAACAAATTTTAGGTTGAAATGTTGTAAATGGTATTGCATAAATTGCATTCAGGTTATTAATATGAATATGCCCGTTACTCTGAAGCAGTATGTTCATCGAGTTGGTCGAACTGCTCGCGCAGGTCGCGTAGGGCGATCTATATCATTAGTAGGTGAAGATGAGCGGAAATTATTGAAGGAAATTATTGCTTCAAACAAGGGGAGTGCTCTAAAACAGCGGCTTATTAGTGCTGGTAAATTTTTGGGCCTTGTAACCTTTCTCTTTATTTTGTTTTATATTAGAAACTGCTCTTGTTTAAAGATGTGATAGAAGCATACAAGAACAGAATTGACAGTCTAAAAGAAAGTATTGAACGAATAAGGGAAGAAGAAGAAACTGAACGAGCTATGAGACTCGCTGGTGAAGAGATACAGAGAAGCGAAGCAAAACTGGAAGGGAAAGTTGAAAAACGGAATTGGATGACATCGAAAAAGACGTTGCAAAAGAAAGGTAGCATGTGTAATGCAATAAATTATCGTTGGCTGGAGTGCAGAGTAGATCATTTTTATCGATTGATAGTTTTAGTATGCCTACAGTATTCTTTTTTAATGCTTTTTTTCCTAGAAAGTGCAAACATAAAGTCTCATTTAATTCAAGTCTCTCAGGATTATTTAGAAAATATGAATTATAATTTTTATTCCAGATGTCAAAAGAATTAAGACGCACAGTGGAGTCAAAAGTGACGATCATGTAAGTTTGTTAACAAAAGTATGCAAATGAATGAAAACGGTGTTAATCTGAAATAGAAGTTCGTTATAACCCAAATGATGGTGTTTTACTGTAGTTTTCATGATCGGGCACATCCTGCTTGCGTTGTTTAATAGCATTACTTACAATTGCTGTAAGTAACTCCATATTGTGCAGGAAGAAGTGCAAACACGCCGACTTGCTGAATTTCAAGTACGTGAAGCGAAACGTTCGAGAAAAAGGAAAAAATTGAGATCTGTTATTGAATTTGGTGACAGTCAGGTTAATGGAAAAAAGAAGCAAAAAAAGAAAAGTTCATTCACTAACGAGCTCACAGATGTTAGAAATAGAGCTGTGAAACGATTCAGATATGGGTAAGCAATGATTTAAAATTTGCTATCATCACAATTATTTGAATAAATGTTTTACTGTCTATTTATGATTGCAGGCCCGAAGATGCGGAGTTCAAAGCAGCGAAAATGAAGAAAGTGCATCGCAAAAGAAAATTATGAATGTGTTTTTCATAAAATTGCCGATTTGCACAAATTTATTAACTGTTATAATTTGCTGCCATACTGAAAGAATTATGTTACTTTAAACTAGAAAGTTTCCAAAAATATCAAGGGAAATTTTAGTGCAACGCATTTTTAGAAGCAGATGCAACTGTTAAGGCCGTAATTGTCTATTATTAGATGTTAAAATTTTTTTTAATATAAATTCATTTATTTAATTGCGATGTTTTTTCTTTGCTTGGTACAGGTAGTATTGATTTCAATACATTTTTTCAGGTGTATTTTGAAATTTTTTTAAGAAACATAAAATATAACGACTTGGTTTATTTTAATGTAACTTTTTTCAAAACCAAATTGTTCACTGTCGAAACATGGCAGCCAAACCATGAAACAAGGATTGTAAGCCTATTGTGTTCATATCATGATCAGAAGAATCGAAAAACCCAACAATCTCTTTATTTTCTTGTGATATAACTTCGTCTTATTCAAAATTGCTGCTGCTGAATAGTAGATTCAAGCGCTGCATGACTTCAACGTTGACCATAATTGTATTGTTTTGATAACTCTGGGCTTTCCTGTAAGCAATCAAAAAAGTGTCGGCCGAAATTTTTATGCTACTATCTTCATCTGTCCATGTAAAGATATTTAAATTTTATTGTATTTCCGCTTGATTTTAGTTCCGTATTCGGGTTCACCTGAATTATCTAAATAATTGGTTAGTCGTTACTTTTGTTGCACTATGATCAGTAGGCAGATATTTTGGTCGTTACAACAAGTACCAAATGTTTATGGTACTGTTAATACATGATTAAAAAGTGTAATTGGACATTTATCCGTCAAGCAGGATAAATGTCCAATTACACTTTTTAATGTTATTCAAATTTCATCTCTGTAAGATTATCCTAGCAAAAACCAGCCATATGCAGAACTAGAAGCGTCAATCGACAAAAAGGAAATTGCTTGCTTCAAAACCTTGGTAGTCAGTAATTCACATTATGTACGTAAATTGATATGCTAAGAATAAATCAAGTGTAAAGTTAGTAAATCTACAAGAAATTTGTTTTAGTAATTACGTTGGTTTTCGTTCCTTGTAAAAAGTGATCTACTATTATGGGGTGTGAGAGGAAAACATTCCATTTTTTTCACGACTTTAGTTTGGTCGGGTAAGGCACTTTTTAATATCCTGTTAATAATAGTGTACTTCTAATCTGCGCATCTGTCTTGATTACTTAAGGAATTCTGAAGTTTTAACATGAAAGGGATACACCCAACTTGTTTTCAACAAATTAACATTGAAACAGCAATTCGTCTAGTCTATGCAAATTTACTTCGTTTTTGCTGCCACAGAAAAAACACTGTAATCATTACTGGTACTTAGCAAATCTTTCTAAAGCTTTAAGAAACAAAAACAGAAATAGTCAAGCTACTCTACACCTTTGTCTTTATTAGCATATTAGCAATATTCATCTATACATATGAATAGTCGTGAATATTAAAAAAAATTGAAAAGATGGAAGTGTGCACTTTATGCAAAATGAGCTAGAAAAAATATACAAGAATAGGTGAAGTACCGGCTACAATGATCTCCGGTGTTTGTTTCAAAACTTTCGAACAAATTAAGTCAATGAATATGAAGATTAGAATAATTCCCTCATTCCGAAACTTGCAGAAAAAACCAAATCTTCCAGTCCCTCCAATTTTCAAATGTAACGATTATCTACAACAGTAAATATACAAGATACAGCTGAAAATTTTTAAAAAGTGGTAACTACTAGCATTACTCTATCGATAAGTATATACATGGACTACACTTGCATAAAATTACTTGAATCCAGCCAATAAAAAGCACCATCTAAATGATCTGAAATATCGGCTTGCACAAATACAAGAACTGTGCTTTTCTTGAATTTTTTCAATATTTTCAGGTTAGCTTTGTTTTTCTTTTTCCCTCATTTACACTTGAACAATGGAGCAATCTAATTTACTAAAAATTAGTGGGAATTTTGAAATTAAAAAAGAAAACAACATTATATAACAGTATATTGATGGAAAGGCTCCTTTCGTTGTTTTGCTAGAACAAATGTTGACTTCCATCAGTAACGTTCTTTACCATTTGATTCATTTCAATTTCAGAGTATTTCTACTTCATTTTCGCTTGTCCATCGATTTCCCATATATCTAAAAAAGTATCTTAAGCCGTAACAGTCCAATGCAAATTTTTATTTGCTTACGAACCAGAAAATTACTTACTGGTCTGTATTTCGAATGGTCAGAGTGACTGGGATGAGGAGGATCAGGCCTTAATCTGCTGCCATTATCTAAAATTTTTTCCACTTTCAGAGACAATTCGAGAAAACTGCTAGATTTCATTTTTTTGAAACTGATATAATTGTGGAAACATGCCTTTGTACTTTTTTTTAGGCATTGACCAACCAAGTAGTTTGAATACCGCGGACATTTCTTGATGCTGTGAAATCAAAAACCGCTTTGTATTAAAACGTAATTGCCACGGACGAAAATCACATTTTTTCTATAACTTAGAAATTGCGTTGTAAGTTAATATCGACATTAGAAGTTGAAAATTCAAAAACAAAATAGCAATATCTTCAAGCAGTTAGTGCAACCTATAAGAAATAAACCACTAAATTCTCTAACCACAAATCGCCTGAAATAAGAAATGAACTTGAAATAAACCCTAGGGCAGCATTCTTTGGTCCACCAACAGGCTTCACAAACCAAACGGAAACCATTACAAGTTGAAAAATCCAGTAAGGAATCAATATACTGAAAAAGAGCATTTGAATAATCGTCAGCAACCGTTACTAATGATTAATCAAGTGTAAGAAAGAAATTTTATTCTCCAGCTGATTATAAGCAAATCATTTTACTGTTGAACTTGGTTACCACAAAAAATGCTTGCATCTTTAAATATATCATGATTAGGTCTAAATGCTCTATATAAAAGTACCACAAAGATTTTGGAGCTCAAAGAGAAATTTGAAAAATGTACAAAAACATCCATGAGACTTTGTTCAAAAAAAATTGAAAGTTCAAATAAGATTGTGCCTGAATTTCAAAACTTTAGGAGAAAAAGTACCTTAACAGCATTGCTTTGCCCAATAATAGCTGGAAAAAGACTGATACTCGCTAGAGTCCGAGCAAGACTTGTCAAAACACCGCAAGTAGAATTTAGTATGCATCGCTTTTTCTCATTTTTCCAATACATTTTGTTAGCCTGAAATATGAACTTTATGAAAAAATAAAAATTACACTTCTTGATTGGAAAATAGTCCCACGCATAATTTTAAAATGCGTTTTTGAATGTTATTTGACACCTACCAAAATTTATCAATAAATAGTAAGTTTCAGTTTTTATAATCAATACTTCGCCAAATTAAATGATACAAAAATGATTCTGAATTTGAAGGCAAGATATTGAGATGATAAAAACAACAACCTTTGATGACTCTTTCATAGTCACGTGATTGACAGATTTTTTTGAACGTTCAATGAGAAGAATCTTAGTCTCTTCAATGGTTTTTGAGACCGTTTCCTGAACGAAGAAATCAACCATAATAACAAACATTGAATGTAAGATATCAGTTTTCAAAACTTATCAGTATTATTACAATTTCGACCTTATTTTGATCGCAATTTCATAATCAATTCGTAATTAGACTTGCTCCTAGATGAAATAATTTTGACATTTCGAAAATAAATTCAATCCCTTACTGCAATTATCCGCAACTTTCAGAAAGGACAGAATAATGTTCACCCACATCATGCGTTGTCTAATCTTTGGTCATGCTGATGCAATGATAATATTAATCACTAAAAGTTTACTTGAAGAAAATAAGCAAAGAAGAATTACTTTTTTGATATGTTTCTGAGATTTATAACTATACAACTGCTTCGCCTCTTTCTTGAACTTCTGAAACGACAAAATGAACAATCGCTGATTTTTTTTTTTTTTTGAAAACGATATATCAAAAAAGTAATACGTAATCTTAAATTCAAAAATTAATTTTGCTAGAACTAATTGTAATTCTGCCGTAACAATTCGCCACAAGTAATAATACAGAATATATGATAATTTATAATTCTGAATAAAAGTGAGAAAAGAGCCATTAATAAATAATTAGCTCAAGCAAAACTTCGCAAAAACTAACTTCACTTTTGCACATATTTTTTTCCAGCTGATGTGCAGTTCTTCCAATATAAGCCTTTGATTGGTTGATAGCATATTTTTCTTGTTTTTGCTTTTGAAACTTTTTCTCCTCAAGAAATTGATCCGAATTGTTATTGTATTTTGGTTTTGCTGTTTTTAATTTTACAGAGTTCGAAAACATTTTTTTAGGTAAACATGGTTCTTCAATAGGTTCCACGCAAAGATCGTTACCCACTACAGGCTGTACCCCATTTTTTTTCAGCGATACGCTTGGTGATGAAGAATATGAAAGTGATGTGAGTGATTTTCGCTCTTTTTCAGCTTCAAAAAAAGTTTCCGAAAATGGAGGAATCGGCAAGGTAGGTATCGATATCGCACTGGATTGTTTTTCAGTTTCTGAAGTTACGAATTTGATGAGTTGTAATCAATTTTTCTGCAGACTATCAATCGTTGGTTATTAAAACAAGCATTTTCTAACCTTTATACATTTCTGCTTGTGCATCATCCGTTGTTTTATTTGTATTTATAGAAATTAAAGCATTAATTTTGTTCTCCATCTTCTTCATTTTTTCCGTATATTTTAAATATCGTTGAACCGACTCATTCATAGTAATTATTTCATGCTAAAAAAATTGAATAGAATTATCTCTAATTAGTCTTAAAACTTATATTGTACATATAATACAAGAAATGCAAAACAATTAAGTACTTGAATAAATGCAAACTGCAGCTGAATAACCAAGATTACAAATAGATAGAATAAAGTTTTTATAGTGACTTTTTAGAAGCCTTTTTTTCTCAACTTCTATGTGTCATATATACTGTTACATTTCAATACAACATTACTTGCTACTGTTAGATCAGTTTAGTCATATAATGTTCCTTCTCGATAATAATTACAAAGACTTGATGTAACTGTTTTCCAAACAAAAATTTGAAATTCACATTTTAAAAAAATGTATTTTCAAAAAAAAAAAGTAAACTTTAATACGACTGATGAGCTATATTTGAAGTTTTATCTCCTACTATACTCCACTTACAGAAAAGTGTTCCTGTTTCCGAGATATTGAATTCATATTTCCTGGATTGTAAGTATAAGTAATTGGTGCATTTGCAGGTAGTGACTTAGTTTCTGATGATGGAGAAGACCAAGAAAATATAGTTGGTTTTAATATGACTTCAATAAGTGGACTTGAAGTAGGGACAGAAGGGAGTTCATATCGATACTGCAGATCGATAAGCTGATCCTGAAATAATTTTATTTTAATAATTGTATTTTCCTAAGAATTAAGGATAAAACAAATGGATTATCTTAAAATATAATGTAATACGTACAGAAAAGCAGTATTTTGCAAAAACTAACGTTGACAATCAAGAAACTAACGTTGTCAGCGAAACACAGATCGTCCATAGGGGATAATTCTAACTTTTTGGTAGCTGAAAAAAATGACAGATCTATAAACAAGCAAAAGTGTGCTAGTTCGCAAAAAAATAAAATGTACTAGGCCAGAAACTTGGAAAATTTCATGCACAGATCTTCATTTTACTATCTTAGGTTACTGCTTTAAAAACAAATGTGAAAAAAGAAATAGTTTTAAATTCATACTGTAATTGAAGTAAAAGACGACAACAACAATAGCCACAAGTGAAAAAATTGCCATAAAGCCAATATTCCTCTCCAAGCCAAAATCATCGAGTATACGACTGAAAGGCGAGTCAAAACATCTCGCTAAAATTGGGATGATTTTTGAAAACTTATGATCAGATAAGCTGTTTACACTAATCAAAAGCAAGTTCGCTAAGTGATACCTACGGCAATGAACATTTTAACTAACAAAGCAAAATTGATGGGACTGAGTTATCAAGTCGAAAAACAATTTGCATCAGTAATAACTGTATAAGCACAAAAATTTTCTGCGACTGAAACTCGAAAAACAAATAAACTTACATAAATCATCCAACTTTCTTGATATTCTGGCAACGTCAATGTACTTCCGGGCATCTGAATCATTAAGCACATCGTCTTCAGAAATAAGAAAGAGTTCATCATCATTATCATCGTACTCATCATCACTATCAGTATTCGCATCATTTTCATTATCATTGTCATCATCATCCAGATTGAATTCGCTCTCAACTTCTACCCCGACTTCATTTCCCAAAGCCCAAACATTATTCTCATGCTGTAATTTCATGACATTAGACACAAAAATTTTGATATATATAGACGAAAATGGAATTTCCAGGAAACACAGCTCTTCATATTTCCAAAAGAAAGGCGCGGAATTGCAATGTAATCATTTTTCTTGATACAAATTAGTGCAAGTTACAAATAAACGTACAAATGTGATTGTAATAACTGAAACTATAATGTAAGCTAACTTGAAAATTAGAGGTATCGAATTTAAGATACGATTTGATTTCCATTTCGCAGTCTGATTGCTTTTCATAATTTTTTTTTGCCTCCGGAAGTTCCGCTGCTTGGTCAGCCTTAATTACATATGGTATAGCAAAACAGAATCAAAACTAATTTTCACTATTAGAAATTATATCAAATCAAAACTGTCATTAATTCAGGAAAAATAAAGATAATAGAAATAATCTTATAAACAATAATATAATGATTATTACTAAATTTCAATCAGAGATAATACAATAACAAGAATCATGCAGGAATTAAGATTCTTAAGACAAGTCAGAAAATGCAATTTGGGAATTGAAAAGGAAACAAATGTTACTATGCACTTATGCATAAAAACAATGAATAAATAAATAACATACATCATCTGATTCAGAATCACTTTCCGTCATAAAACTCCATGAAGAATTGTTGGTTTCTAGACTAGAAAATGATGATGAAGGAGTGAGACATTGGTCATTCATGTCTCACCAATGGTAGATAAATGCTAAAAAACGAGTTCCTCAGCAAGTTTTTTTCATTATATATTTTGATAATTGCACGAACGATTGTATTTCGATAGCTGCCTACTACTTCTAAATATTAACACAGAATAAAAAACTGATGAGAATAAGGGTGAAATGGCTTTCCAATTAAAATAACACTAAAAGGCAATAACCAAAGGATAATATTATTAATAAAAACTAATCACAAAACTGCAAAGAAATTTTCAATAAGGCTGGACAAGCGTAGAAACGCCTCTCAATGACGCAATAGTGAATTCAAGTTGAAAACACTGCAATTAACTCTTATCAAAGAAACCTATCTGAGAGAACCTGCCAGTCCTGTCTTTTCACAAAATATCAAACACTCAACTCTCCACGCTGCACACTAATTTTTTTTCTTCTTTCTCCTTAATCACACAGCAAATATGTTTCTGTCATTTCCTTTCTCAGTTACTTCAGAAGGCAACACGTGATTCACTCACTCATTCTTCTCACACAAAATACAAAACACTGCAAAGGGGTGAAAAAGAAACCAGTCAGTGGTTGTTTAAGTAAAAATAGTAATAGTAGAGTAATAATAATAATAATAGTAGTAGTAGTAGTAGTAGTAGTGATACTAGTAGTAATTGATATATAAACTTCGTCAGTTCTTTCGTTATCAACATTACTACTTATAGCCGAGAGTGCCTGCAAATACTAACCGAAGAATACTTTTCCAATTGTGTATATATCAGAAAAGTAATTAAAAGCCGCGCAAATTCTGTTAAAATACCTTAGCAGGTGTAAACTTTCTTGGCATAACCATAACTTTGAGTGCTTATCACATAATACAAATTAACTGAAGTAATAGTAAATACAGTATAGAAACTTTAATACATGCATATATATAAGTTTGAAAAAGTAATAAAAAATATTACATTTTATTATCAGAATTCTATTCTATTCCAATAAATCCTTTTTTTTAAAAGTAAGATCAACGAGCCTTCAACTATTATCATTCGTTGCTCATAAAGAATGAGAAAATTACGAAGCGATTAAACAGTGACGTTAGCCTAAAAGCCCAACTCAATTCAGTGATGTTTGTCTAGCTAAGCAATGCTTACGTAAAGTATATCTTTGATTTAATTTAGATTTTTAAGCCACAAAGTAAGCTTCAAATTTATACAGACAAATTACATATTACTAAACTAATTAACATGACGTAAATAGTCAGTCAATTAGATTTTCTGATAAAGGAACACAACGTTTGCACCAAAGAAAATGAATAAAAATCAAATGATAGCACACAGATCGATATGAATGGACAGAAAGTACCGAGCAATTTCCCGCTTTGACAATTACAATATCGAACTGAATAGGATTGTACCAGGTGTTCGCAAGGTTACTCTTACTCTATCTTACCTGCAACAAAATCTTACTGGTGTAAATAACTTGAAAAAACATCTTCCTTCTCTTCTTTTCGCCTTTTTTCCATGGGAATAAGCTAATTAATTTCTTTCCTTTTTTCTCTCTTTCTTCAACTACTGTTTTCATCTAAATAGATACTAACAAAATTAGCAAAATAATAATGATAATAATAGTAATAATAATAGTAATAATAATAAACAAGAATAGTTTGTAATGAAAATTAATCGATGCTTAATACTAGAATTAAGAGATAAATGCAATATTTAACAATATAAAGTAGTGGAATGACTGAAAATTTACTTCATGCACATTTTCTTAAATAAAAATTAAAAAATTCAAAAATTAAAAAAAACCCACTACTTGCAAAATTTAAAACTTTTCAAATTCTTTTTTTAATCCTACAAAATTATCGCTGTATTAATTGCTATTAAACTCTAAACTCACTGCCAAGTAATGATATCCCTAATTCTTTATTCTTTTTGAATTTTCTTCAGTGCCAGCTTCAGTGCATTGCAAGAGCAAAAATGTAAAGAATTACTTTTGCTTATCGGCAAAGAAAAAACGAATGACTGGTATGTATTTTCTTCTTATTGCAATTTTCTATACATTTTAGAAAATGCAAGAAATTCCATTTACAAATTACCAAAACTTCAAAGTAAATTCTACGCTTAATACACTTCACAGTGATTCATTTGTTCAGATGCTACACAAGAAGGTAGCTAATCTACAGAACACAATGAAAGCTAACTTGTCATTACGTTAAGATCTTTTGATTTTATGGGGACGAAAAAGAATGTTTGCTAGCTTATTTAGCGTATGAGTTTGATTGCTAAAGTTAACGATGCTCTCAATGTCTGCGATTGGATGGATATTCATTCAACTGCTACAACTATGAGCAAGCAGAATGAAAAGTAATCGATTGTCATCATAAGTTATTATTGCTTTTGATATATTTTAGAATAAACAAAAAAGTTACAGAATTTAAAAAAAAATAAAATTTTAAAAAATGAATAAAAATAAGAAGGAAAGGGAGAATGAGAATGGATGGAAAGCATAATAAATGTAATAATTTTTTTGATAGAAGCAGAGAGAAGAGAAGGAAATAATATTGGTGTGAACTGATTTATTTGTGATAAAATAAAATAAAAGATGTAGTATAGTAAGAGAAGTGTAATAATACAATACTCTCATGCAAAACTAATTAATATCAGTTAACGCTATATATATATATATATATATATATAAGCGTATATAAGTAAGTAAAATAAGTGTATTTACGAGTATGAAAAGTGAAGAAAAAACACAAATAAGATGGATAGATCTCATGACAGGAAATTCAGGAACAGAAAGAGTAAATGAATCACGTAATTGTACGCTTAACTATGAATGATGCGCAAAAATAAAATTGCAAGCGCCATTGTTGCTGTGATATTATTGCCACTTCTACTGCATCTGCATCTATCAGCATCGTCAGAGAAATAATCATCAACAACTGTTTTGAAAAGCGACTGAAGTGAAAGCCTACGTTACTGAGTGTGTTATTCATTCATTCATTTATTTATTTATTCATTCATTCATTCATACATTCATTCATTCACTCAATCATTCATTCACTCACTCGCTCATCGATCATAATATCTGAGATTGCTTTTGCTACGCTTGCCAACTATGTTATTATCCTCCACAACTTTTCATCGATCACACAAACATGTACACAAAATCAGCTGATTATTAGAAAATCAGCTGATCTTCACTGCGTAATCTATTAACACATTCCTTTATGTACTTACTTTTTGAAAAAAATTAAACAAAATCTATGTGATTTTTCATTTCGAAAAATAAGAAAATCTGTTTTCAGTCAATAGTGTTACAAAAATTAATCTTAATCCATAACTATTAATTAATAGTTTTATGCATAATTAAATGAGTGAAACAGATTGGAATATGGATATATTCATATGCATAATGGATGAAAACTGGCAAGTTGTTCAGAGTAAGTAAGTACTCTGCACGTCCGAAATATGACATCATTCACCATTGCGTGCCATTTACGGTCACATTAATTTTGTTTGGAACTGTTCTTACAGTCTGCTCAAATATGAATAGAACAGCTAAAATATACGAACAATACTATGGCTGTTATCAAAATTTGATCCTTCATGTTGCTTATTGTAATAATAGATGGAAGTTGCTAGGAATTTTAATATTCATTAGCAATAGTTAATATTATGAACAGTATGACGATCTAGATAAAAATATTAGCAAAATACATTTCAATTAGCCAAACATATTCAAGAGATGCTATTAAATCATCCAGCAAACTTTCACTTGATGTTATGTCATAAGAAAGCACAGCTTACATTAATTTAAACAGCTCACAATGATCAATTATAAAATAACTGAGATTTGATCCTATTATGTATTACTTAACATGTTATATTACACTGCAATATTTCCGAAGTACTGTTTCAGGCTGAATTATTCATTACAATCCTTGTTTTGATACAGTACGAAAAATTTATCACTTACTGTTTAAAAAATTGGATATCTCTTGAAAAAGCTGATAATAGAAAATCTACAAAAATCTCTCCAAAGCAAAGAACTCTTGCTTTCATTCTTGTTAATTTGTTGCTTCAAATTTTAGCACACAGTTTTTGGCTCTACTGTTTGTCTATTAACTAATTGTTGAATAATAAATGTATTTAATACTAGTAGTAATAAATGCTTTATTATTTGTTTTCAAATTTTAATTACCGTGCTCATGTAAAAAAACTTACTTGGCTTCAAATTTGCAAAAATTCTATTTCCACTTCCTGCTTTTTATATTGAAAATCATATGATTCTAGCTTGTTTCTTCCTAAACTTCAAAAGTGTTGAAATTAACCTGTGTAGTGATTTTTGGTATAAATATCTGACAGTTCATGTTGTGTGGTATAAATATTTAACAGTTCATGTTGACATTGTTGGAGCTGTTCAGATTATGCATAAAATTCAAGTTTTATATCACCTTTTTACTTGTTTTGATTTCTGGCAACAATAGCTTGAAATTTATTTCAGCATTTTGTTTCTGTTCTGAATAAACTTTACTCTGCTCTTACGTGACAAAAAAATGTTTTAAAAAGTGATAAAGCAATGCAATTAATCATGGCTAATATGGCTAATATCAATATTTTGTTGATCAAAAAAACTTTATGATTCCTTCAGAGCAATCATACCTAACAGGATTTGATGGAATTTATTGAAATCACAGCAATGCATGTAATACGCAAATTCTATTATTTGCTGCAGGTGAAGACTAGTTATCAATACAATTGTGTGTTAAAAATTTTTAATTATTTTATCACTTACTATTATTTTAGAAAAACATTCATTCATGTTTGTCTGATTGTTTTCGAAAATTATCTCAATTTTAGCTTTTTTTACAATTTGAAAAAAATTTACTTCAATCTTTTAATCTTTCAATCTTTCATTTGATGATTTCTTTCAGTGCATGAGCAAATTGACAAAAAAATACAAACATGCCAAAGTATAGGTAACAATACAAAATGACTAATTTTAGTTTTAGTTTTAAT